GTATCCTTATAAGTCTATAACTCGAGCCTCTATAAAGTCTCTCTAGTTGCCGATAGCATAAGGTATTGCTAGACCTTCCCTTAAAACCATTATCTGCCTATTAGGTAGATTAATAGTCGTAGGGCTTATCTCTATAAGATAAGAACTATAGAAGGATTTAGCTTTCGAAGATAAGATGTAGACTCTAGATGTAGCGGTATTAAGTGTAAATCGAGCCTTTCGAACATTATTTAGGGGTCCGATAGTACCGTACAGTTTAAGAAGACTACTATCTAGAGCATTTAAGTAGCCTACACTCTCGACGTCCGAAGAATCTGTAGTTATAGCCTTATCTAGACTTATAACTAGGCTTCCTTCTTCGTTCGAGGCTTTAATAGGTAAGGGAGATGCCTCTAGAGCACCCTTACCCTCTATTTTTTTAATGGGCACTCGTTCTTATAGTAGCTAGTCTAGTTGCAACTATAGTAAGTAACTTTAGATCGGTCTTTGTTTCTAGTTCCTTTACCTTTCTTACCTTTGCCTTAACTAGCCTTACCCTTACCCTTCTTATCGTTTATAGCGTTTAGTTGTTTAGTAGGCATAGCATTTAGCTTATCTTCCTCGTAACGATAGTGTTATTTAAAGAAAACCTCGTCGAATGCTATAGCACAAACTATATAGGTTTTAGAGGTAACATTAGTAGGGCGAATAAGTTAAGTATCTATAGCTTCTCTAACATTTGCTTTTAGGCCGTCTCGGAAGCGGCGGTTAAATTACTTATTAGAAGGGATAGGGTTAAGCTTATATGTAAGAGTTTGCAAGTCTCTTATAAAGGCCCTAAGTTAAGAAGTATCGCCTAGTAGTCGGAAGCTAGAGCTTAAAGGGGGGAATAGTCATTAAGGGGTGGAACCAATACTTATGTTATGATTTAGTTAGTTAACTACTGTTATAGTACAGAAGTCTTTATGTTACGGCTTCTCCGTATTACCTAACTTCCTCTTGCTACATCTGTTACCCTAACTACCATATTGTAACACTCCTCCTTAGTCTAGACGGCGGATGCTAGTAAGACCTAGCTAGTTAATGAATCTTGCAAAGTCCGGCTTAGGCAATAGCTTAGTAAAGCCATCTATAACCATATCTCTTATCCCTATAAACTCGACATTGATCCTATTCCTTCGGTGTAGGTCTCTAACATAATAGTATGTAACATCGATGTGCTTTAACCTCTCGTAAGTATAGGCATCTCTAACTAACGATAGAGAGGCTTAATTATCACCAAACAGTTTAACTAGTGACTTAATAACGAAGCTTTGCTCTTCTCTTATAGTTAGCTAATATTGGTTGCAACTAATGTACTTGCTATAGCCTATGTCTCTTAGAAGTTAAGCTAGCTATTGTGACTGCTTTGTAGCCTAACACATGGCCATGTATTTAGCTTCTATAGTTAAGGTTGTAACTGACTTCTGCTTCTTACTAGACTAGCTAACAGGACAGTTGCCTATTATAAATACACTTCCTAAAATGGATATCCTGTCTAACTTGTCCATTACGTAGTCTAAATTAGAGTAGCTAACGAGTTGTTATATGCCTTCTACATTGAATTCTAGGCTAAGGTCTATTGTTAAACGTAGGTACCTTATAAGGGATTTTAACAGTTTAAAGTGCCCTTCTAATGGATCTAACAGATATTAGCTTAGCCTTCTAATTGCAAATGCAATGTTAGGTCTNTAAAGACCCTAGCAACTACTGCTTCTAGGTCTTTCATAGCAATTATAGGCTCTTAGCGGGATAACTAAGAAGACCGTTTCTGTCTTCGATCATCTCTTGCAGCTCGTTAAGTAGCTAGAAGTAATAGGTAGTCCTTAATAAAGTGATCCTTCTTGCAAAGATGACATTTAATAGGGCCCTATCTATTCCTTGCAAGATAAGCATGTAAGGTCGTCTTTAAGTTTAGTTTTGCTTCAAAGTTCTCTAAAAGTGTAAGGATATCTTCTAGGTCTAGATAACTTTGCACGTCGATAGCGTTTATAGTTATATTGTACTCTTCTAGAAGACTTACAAGTAGCTTTTAAATCCTAGCTTTAGGCTTACCTAGATTCGCATTAGTTAGGTCTAAGCTTGCAATCTTTCGTCCTAGCTGTTAAAGATATAGCTACGCATCTTAAATTGTCTAGTTTTAGTCCTTCTAGAAGGAGTAGAACGATTCTACAAGTAGTCTCCTCTAAATAGGTAGAGTCTTCTTGTATCTAGCTTGCAACTAGTCCTAAAGTGTCTTTAAATTGGCTATATCAACATAACGCATCTAATCGTCTTCTAAGATGCATTTGTTAATCCAGTATAAAGCTATATTGTCGATTTTAGTGAAAGCTGCCTCGTGCTTGCTTTTAGGTGTTTTAATTGCTTTCTAGTAGTCCTTGCTATATAGCTATCTCTTCATGTTTTAGAACTATAGTTCCTAGTTTTCTCTAGTAAGGGTAGCTACTAGCCTACCTCTCTATGTTTCGGCGTCGTCTATTTCGTGTTCGATCGTCGGGTTCGGGGGTAAGTCTATCGTCGACTTATAATAGTGTCTAAGTACTGTTAGGTTTAGTAGTCTTCTACTAAAGATACTAGAGTAGGCTAACTATAGGTCCTCTCACGCGAGGGTAGCTTATAGCTGCTGTTTCGGGTCGGGCGCGATCCTAGTATAAGTTTTACACCGCTTATATTCCTCCGAGCTCTTGCAAACCCGGGCTTATAACTAGTTAAGAAGTATCGCCTAGTAGTTAGAAGCTAGAGCTTAAAGGGGGGAATAGTCATTAAGGGGTAGAACTAATACTTGTGTTATGATTTAGTTAGTTAACTACTGTTATAGTATAGAAGTCTTTGTGTTACGGCTTCTCCGCATTACCTAACTTCCTCTTACTACATCTATTACCCTAACTGCCATATTGTAACACCCTAGCTAAATTCCTTTACCTTATAGACTTAAAACGTTGCTTCTTCGTCTCTATCTAGTCTAGATTAACATAACGTTTCTAGATTATGTCGATTTAACGCTTAAAGGTATTATAATCGGCTCCTCTCTACTAGGTCTTAAAGGGGTCTCCCTTAAGATAGGTAGAGATAAGGCGGTTCTTTTCCGAATCGGTAAGAACTCGTCCTCTAAAGGTAAACATCTTAGTAAGATAGAGCTAGTTACGGATTAGTCCGATCTAGTTCTTAACTTCTTTATTCTTAGAACGGTCGTCTAAGATAGGAGGTTTATAAAAATCGAGCTTACTAGAGGGGCCTAGGATAGTTGCAACTTACTAGTAAGTGTTTCTAGTAGGTAGAGCTACACCTTAAGAGATAGCGCGGTTATTAAGACGCTCTATCTCTCGCTGTTATAAGTCTATGTTATGTTATATCTGTCTAAGTTAGAACATAACTAGATGTTCTCTTTCCTTACGAGTAGGGACATACCTATCCTCGTCTATAATAGTAGGAGGATTATAGTTAGATTAAGCAGTTGCACTAGTAACCTCTCCTAGCTGTCCTAGGAAGAACTCGGCGGCCTTATTAGCTTACTAGTTAGAGCGGCGGGAGTCGGGGCTATCTATATAGGTATCTATAACGAATAAGAAGCAGGTTAATAAACGATAAAGAAGGTAGAAGCGGTAGTATAGTGTTAGTATAACTTGTTGTCTCTAGTCTTCTTGTTATAGAAGGGCAAGCCCTTCTTATATAGTTTAAAGCTCCTTCTAGCGAAAGGATTACTTAGATTAACCTTATAACTAACTAAGTCTTTCTCTATATTGCGTTATAATAGTATAGCTAATAGATTAAACTATTTCTTATTGCCGTAGACCCTTAACATAAGGACTTATAATGTATACGTAAGTTGTACTACCTACTTCGTAACTAAGTGTTATAATAACGCGTAAGCGTTACTTTAATTCTTAATCTTGTAGTGGACTTTAATATTATCTATAGGTCCTATATTATAATGGTCTACTATTGTAAATAGCGATGTCGGTCGGGTAAACATCGGCTAGTTATAGCGGAGTCGGTAGTTATAGAGGGTTCTCTCTTCGAGGGCTATAAAGGGCACCTCTAGCCGAGAAGGCCGTCTAAGAGCTTAGCTACTAGATGTAATCGCTAAAAAGAACTTGATTTTTGTGCTACGTACGAGAGCCTTAGTTATATAGCTTGTGCGCCAAGAGCTGCTTATTTAGAGCCACTCCGATAACGCAATAACAATCCCCTGGATTGATCCCTAGTGCAAACCTTAACAGCTATAACGGAAAAACCGTCCGACCGAAGCCATCTTCATCGCTGAATGCAATACGCTAGATACACATGATTGATCACATTTCAAGTTGTCTGAAGCTATTCTCTTTTTGGATCTGCAGATATCTAGCCAATCGTCTAGCATTCGGTCTCCTGCCATCAATCATGTCCTTTCAAAATTACTAGGAAGCTCGTCTTGACGAACATTTCCACAATCGACACGACACACGGGCGAAGCTTCTCGTATAACATGCAGGTCATATAGCTCAATACACAGACTTGCAGAGCTTGCAGCTTGGTGGCCAAGACATGTAGGGTGCGAACTTTCTTCGCGAACAGCTGATACAAATGCCACCAGCTTGCCGTGACTCAAAGGCTGTGCGATGTCGGTCAAACCTGTCGTAAGTCTTATGATCCTTCGGAACCATTTTCGCTCAACAGATCGAAGACATCAGGAGCACCAATTTCTGAATAGCGAACAGCTCTTTCTGCTTCAGACTGATTCGATTCAGTCCGTCCTGCCTTTGAGGCATGAGCAATCCTTCCTAGATCAGAGGAGGTACAAGATACTAAAAAAATGGCGACAGATGTTCCTTGACAAACACCTGTATGGCCAAACTCAAGCCCGGACGTAGATCCCCCTCCTCTGCCCCACTCCAGAACTATTGGGAAGAACTTACTGCACGACACCCCTAGAGGTAGGTACGCCGAGCTCGACATATAAATGCCGCAATCATCTCTACTCCTTCGTGCTTTCTGTTCTTCCACTCCCAACCACAATCCCGACAGTGAACCCCACCAACTATCACCACTGGTACGAGTCTTGAAAAAGACAGGCCATTCAGCATGGAGTTATCAACGTATCAAGCATGGCAAAGCTCAGGTAACGTCTCAAACACTACAAACAAGTACTTGCAGACGGGTGTTCAACTTCCAAGGTCTGTCATGGCTCTCGAGCAATGGCATGTTCTTGAAGTTGATCTGAGAAATACCGTAATGTTGTAAGAGCAAGACCGCTTCTCTCGAGAAGCGTCCTTGCTCTTCAACATAGAACTTGATCTGGGTAATTCCAGCGAAAGGACTGCTTCTGTTTTTCATCCTACCTCGCAGAGGGCGGAGTGTACTGACAAAAACAGCTTACTCGCTCTGAACTATTTTCAAGATGGCCACTGACAAGATCACCTTTTTGTCCAACTGGTCTGTGGCTTTCTTGCCCTTGATTGTTCAAAAGGGGAAACGTGGACTGACAGGTTATCCTAGGCATGCTACCCCTTACCACGCACCCGTGTATCTCGCCCAGGCCAAGGGATACTTCAAGGATGAAGGTCTCAAGGTTGCTCTTCTTGAGCCCAATGATCCAAGTGTATGGCCTGCCTGCCCTTTATGCCAAAGGAGATCTGAGACACTGATAATCCATCTTAGGATGTCACCGAAATCATCGGTAGCGGCAAAGTTGACCTTGGCTTCAAGGCCATGATCCACACCCTCGCTGGAAAAGCTCGCGGTTTCCCCATCCAATCCATCGGATCCCTTCTCGACGAGCCCTTCACCGGTGTCGTGTACCTCAAGTCCTCCGGCATCACCACCGACTTCCGCTCCCTCATGGGTAAGCGCATCGGTTATGTCGGCGAATTCGGCAAGATCCAAATCGACGAGTTGACTGCCCACTACGGCATGAAGCCCACCGACTACACCGCCGTGCGCTGCGGCATGAACGTCACCAAAGCCATCATCAAAGGCGACATCGACGCCGGCATCGGTCTCGAGAACGTCCAAATGGTCGAACTTGCCGAATGGCTCGCCGAGAACAACCGTCCTCGTGATGATGTTCAGATGCTGCGCATCGACGAACTCGCCGAGTTAGGCTGCTGCTGCTTCTGCTCCATCCTGTACATTGGCAATGAATCCTTCATCGCCAACAACCCAGACAAAGTCCGCGCTTTCCTCCGCGCCTGCAAGAAAGCTACAGACTACGTCCTCGCTTCCCCCGCAGAGGCTTACGAGGAATACATCGATTTCAAACCAACCATGGGCACTCCCCTCAACCGCAAAATCTTCGAGCGCAGTTTCGCCTACTTCAGCAAGGATATGAAGAATGTAGCCCGTGACTGGAACAAAGTCACAAACTATGGCAAGAGACTTGGCGTTTTGCCCGAGGACTACACTCCCAACTACACCAATGAATTCCTTGAGTGGAAGTTCGACGCCGATTCTGAGGACCCCACTGGTGATCAGAAGAGGATGGTGGAATTGCAGAAGAGTGTTGAGAAAGAGGGTGGTTTCCACCGTCTTGGCGAGGCTGTTCAGGGCGCTTTGGTTGATGCTAAGGCTTGCTTGATGTAAGGCGTTGTGTGTCTTGAGTGTGAAGAGTCTATGGAGACATCACTGCTATTCACTCTTTTTTCTGTCTGGTTGTAGTAACGACAGTACTAGCAGGTGCACTGAACGAACAAACCTGGGTTACTTCTCATTCTCACTCATGCAAAACTATTGAACGCGTGCTGCATGTGATTGCCCGTAGACAGAGTGAGTATATAAGCTCGCCAGACCTCCATTGTTTCTGAGTCAAACGACCTTGAAGATGATCGCTCCATGGAAGACGAGTGTCTCCGTCGCAGAAGCCGCAGTCCATTGCCCTGCGATGTATTGGGTCCAAAGGAAAGGACAACCACAGGCTCTTGACCCTTCCAGCAGAGGCTCTATTCCCACCACACGGCTTTCAAATTTCGTCAAATGTTGCCTCATCTCATAAATCCGTGAATCAATGTGCCTGAAAAGTGCAGAGCCCTGGGTGTGGTTGGTGAACCTGCCTGTTCTCCCTGCTTACTTTCGGCAGCTTGACCAGCATGTCGACCATGCGCGACTAGAGAGACCCCAAGAAGTCTTCTCGTTGCTTGATTGTGTAGGATGTACTCGTATGAAGAAGAGAAGGCTGCAGATTGGTATCGGGTCACTTTATAGTGAAGGGCGACCGCTGTAGTGAACACACAGAAAACTTGAGAATCCGTCACTACGGTATCGATCTGTGATCGCAAGTGCCGTCCTCATATTCCTCAGCTCCTTCATCGTCTTCGGGATAACTCTCACTCATGCCCTTCCTCCATGTCCGAATCAGTCACGCGAGTAAGGGCAACACGCGACGCCTTTTCAATTTCCTCATCTCCGCCATTTCCACCACTCCCTTCCACCAGCTGAAACAACATGACTCAATTTGCTAACCTCATCTTTTGCCCACGCTTAATGACTCTGCATCGACCATACCTCTTCTGCTCGCTGTTCGTCTTTTGTTACTCGTGATAATATCTCCGATCAAATTATTCGATCGCGAAATTTGGCATGGTGGGTCCATACCGCCAGTCGCGCGAGTGCGGAAAACTATAACATCAGCCACGCGCGAAACTCTCCCGTATCTCAACCTTCCGCACCGAGACATTTGTTCTCCCGGCCGGTCATGCGAAGACATGCCATCGAAAGTCCATCGCTTGAACGGCTTCGCATCAATCAAGGTTGAAGAGGCAGAGACACATGCGGCAGAAAATACTCAGTAGGGAAGTAATGGCGTTTTGGCATTCGTACATTTTGTCGTATCGTAGTCGGTGGATGTTTTTTGACAGCTGCAGCAAATGCACAAATTAATGCATCATGACGTGTGAGAGAAGGGAAGTGGATATATCACATACGCATGTCCGCAGAGATCCGGCGCGTAAAGCAAGGTAGACAAGCGATGTCATACTCGTACACTCCTCTTTTCGCCAACATGTGTGCATGCAGGTTGGGGAGGAGTTCATCACATCAAAGCGAGCATCGCGCGACGCTGCAGTAGCAAGTGGTGGAAGGAAGAAGAGGGGGAATTTTTTTGTGGCTTGCACGTTTACGAAAATACTCCGGGGGCGCTGTTCCTGAGAGCATGTCTTGTGATCTAGATGCTCCTCGTTTGCCATGTCTCATGCTTAAAGAAGTTTTTGCTTTGATTCAAAGGAGGAACATGGAATGGTCGTTTGATGCGTTTGTCCCGTCTTGTTCTGCGTCGCGAAAAGCCATCAAATCTCCGCGAGTCTTGTTTGTGACTGAGGATAGCTAGTCAGGAGCGTTGGTCACAGAGTGAGCACACTTGACGGAAGATTGGGTTTTGGTCTAACCGTCGATCTGGGGTAGGCAGGAGCGCGAATTGGCTGACTGACCTGACTTGGGAGCTTGGTATGGCGCTTTCTTTCCCTTCCCAAGCCCTCGTTCCTGTGCTGGGAATAGGTTAGGCATTCTCGGACACGCGATGCCATGCCGGACTGCCCCTCGTACCTCTTTTCGACAGAAGCCTAAACGCGAGAGGCACCAAGAAAAATATCCGCTACGCTGCCCCTTCCTTTCCCTCGGCGCGTGTGATCATAAATGAGGTAGGTGTATAAGGACCCGGGCATCGGCGGACGCTTGCGCGAAGGGTGGATCTCTTTCTTCCTCTTCTGCTTCCCAGTCCCTCTTTCTTTTTTTACACTTTTCCCTGACGGCCACCCCATCGCATCACCAACCTCTGACGTTGTCGTTCGGTGCTTCTCTACGTGTTTGGCCGTTGTGAAAAGGTAAAACGACCTGTTCCTCGGACCCTTGATATATCCTCACATTACGCGCAACCTACCACTTTCCAATCTGAATCAAAGCATCATCAGCTTTTACCTGCAAGAAATTATATCTATGGCTGTGGTAGCGACAATGGCTCAAAGCAGCACTTCTCAGCCCAATCTCTGGAAACCGCGGTATGCGGCTCGCCAACATCAGGAAAAACCACAGCAAGCCCAGCAACTTGGTCGATCGAGATCGTTAAGAGAGCCATTTGATGCTGCAGAGCTTACACGCAAACTGGAAAATTACCGTCAAGAACTTAAGTTGGAGAAGGCAAGACGAGAGTTGAAGCAAAAGAAGGCAGATATGGCAACAGCAGCTCCAGTTCAATCGGCGGCAGCACAGCAAGAGGTCAACAAACCAGCATCTGAGACACAATCAAATTCTGGAGTGCAGCGTTCAAAGACAGTTCATGTCCCAAATCACGTCATGGCCAGCGAACAGCCAGAACGCAGAAGGTCCATCATTCATCGCAAGCCTAAGCACGAAATCAAAGAAGAATCTCCAGTCGAACCCGCTCAACCTTATGTACCTCGTGTAGCCGCCAAACAATTCGCAAACACCACGACTCCCCTGAAGGAAAAGAAGGAAGGACAATCATCAACCAAAACATCACACAACCACCAGCCAGAGCCAAAGCCCAAGGAGGTCAAGGTGAAAGACACATCCAACAAGCACATCCTCGACTGGAGCGAGCCTGCTCTGAACACCAAGCCCGCATCACCACCCCTCCCAACATCTGAATTTCCCGACGCAGAAAAAACACAAGCACGCATGCACGCACTCCACGCCTTCCGCGACGCCAGCAAATCCCGACCTAGACCCTTGAGCACCGCACTAGAAAACATGCGCTGGGACCCCAACGATTCAAACTCATACGTCCCACACCCAATCTCAAAGCCTGTGGCAGAGGAACCTACAGCAGCACCGACCTCGTATATCCACCCGGCCAACAGACCAGCACTCAAACTCGCAGATCGTCATGATTGGAGTCAAGGCAGTCAATGCGGCGACAGTGCGAGACAATCGCTTCATCTCTTCCGCAAAAAGGATTCTGTGGGTGAAGAGGCTGAGATTGCTGGTCTCAAGTCTGGTATGCAGAGGCCTTCCAAACCGAGACAGAAGAGTCATGGTGATGCTTCGGATCGTCTTGTCAACGATGCTGTCAAGATCATCAGAGATGAACGCAGGAGGAGTATTCTGAATGTGTTCAGAAGACATTGACAATGTCATGATTCGACTATTACGATATTCTTATGTTTGATTTGGTGACTTTCGTTTTGTCGATTTTCGGTTGCTCCCTTTTTTATCTTTCATCATGTTTGAGACCAACAGACTCATAACTTTATACTTTCTTCTCCTTCTTCTTATCCGTGGACCTCGGGCCATTTTCTTGCTTTCTTTTTATCTCCTGCATCATCCCTGTTTATCTCTCAAAGCATTTCGGTCTTGCGTGTCTCTCTGGATCGAGTTTGCTTGTCCCCTTCTCAAAAGCCGTTGTTCTCTTCATCGCGCACAGGCCTACGGGTATCTCTCACATCTTTGTCCATAATGTATATATCTCTACATTTGAATCTCCTTTTCCTCATTCATCTTCTCAATTTATGAAAGAAAGACTGTTGCTTGTTATTTGCTTTTCGTCCAGGCTGTTGATGACTACAGATACGTATCTCGGAACCACGGCATTGTGAAGAAAGAGCACGTCGAAAGGCAAAATGCTTTTGAGAGTACTATATGGTTCCACTGAGAGTGCTTGCTATACATACTCACGGCTTAATTGATGGCACTCTCCTGACGACAACGAGCAAGCGAAACTGCACATCAAAAGGCAACATGTTCTTCGGATCCTGGTGGCCGACCACTGGGAGTGCTTGCTTGATATGCTGACAATGGACCTAAGCTTCAATGATTGGACTCTCGAGATGACAACGATCGAACAAAACTGCACATCAAAAGGCAATATGCTTTTTGGATTGCTAAGGACGACCATTGAGAGTGGTTGTGCTTTAAGCTCTCCTTGGACATGTATCCGTTATCGAATAGTATCTCGCCTTCTCACAGAGGGTCGAGAGAGTGCACACTATCGTCGGAGACAGTCACACTCCGTTGTTGACGTCCGCACAAGACCATCGGCCTCGCCCGAGCAGGGTGCTCCCGGAACGTCAACTAGACTACTCCATCTCACGGGTCCTCGGTCACTATCACTACACTAGCAGACTGCTTGAAGTTGAAGCGCTGCACTTTCACTCTATCTCGCGTCACTCGTCGTGGTACCCCGGCTTCCTTTCCCTATTTAAACCCTCCACCTCTCTTCCTCCCCCCAAGAACATCAACAACGTGTCACGCATCAAGTACGCGCATCAACCATGAATCCACTTCAGTACCTCATAGCTCCGCATGAGCAGCAGCAAGAAACCGAGCAAGATCAGCTGCCTCAGAACCAAGATCTCACGCAAAACGCACACTATGCACAAGCTCCGGGCTCTATGCCTATTCACCAGAGACTCACTCCCCCATCCTACACTCATTCACCTGTATCTCAGCAGGGTCAGCAATCATCGGGGACTTCTAGCGTGCTGGATCGCGAGCAGTTGATCCGTAGCCTAGAGGCCAATCCAGATGTCCTGGCATCACTCCTGAGAACTGGTGGTATCGCTGGTCTTACCACTAGTCTGCAGCGTGCTGAGCAGACCGGCTCAGTAGTTCAGAACTCTGGTCACGGATACAGAACCGGATCTCCTACCAGGGCTGTCAGATCTCAGGCACCACAAACCTCTTCCCACTCAGACACCGTCGAGAATCGACAGATCTGCTTCTGGTGGTACCACACCGGCAACTGTAACAGACACCCTCAAAGCTCCAACTTCAACGGTACGCGCGATCACTGCAGTTATTTCCACGAGTTGACCAGCGACGGCGACATACTTCAATTCTTCCCTACATTGTGGCATCATGGAAAAGGCGATTGTGGGCTTGACAGATGCAGATTCAGCAGTACTTACAGACATCTCTCTCGTCCGTTCCCGAAGCCCAAGAAGAATGAGAAGCTGAAGAAGAGTCTACAGCAGTCTCGCCGGCAATCACAGATCGGTGATCAGAAAATGTTGCAGCAACAGAGTCACCAGCAGTCTGCGCAGCTTCACCGCTCTTCTACTCCGGTCTCAACCCAGCAATACCGTTCTCCTTCTTCAGCTCAGCAATACCGTTCTGCTTCTTCAGTGCACAGCATCGGAAGTGGTAATGGTCAGTCGGGAAGCTTCAAAGCAATCAACGCTACATACATACCCCCTCCAAGAATGTCGAATATCCCCACTGGTCCCGCGGCAGACAGATATGGCAGCGACCAACGCCCGGATTACAGACAGCGATACCAACAGGAATCGTCACCATCAACAGAATCCCTCAAACGCAAAGCTTCCGCCATGTCTTCCCCGATCGACCCTGCCACCATGGTCATACCCACCGGCCCCAAACTCAGCAAAAAAGCCGCCAAACATGAACGCAAACAGGCCAAACAGGCCAGAAAGGCCCAACTCGCCCTTAATGCCCCAACCACTCCGCCTAAATACTTCGATATCGTTCCCAGTCCGACCTCAGGCTTTCCTCCCCACTCAAGCACACCTGCCAAGAAGAAAACCCAGACTTGCTTTTTCTGGTATCATGAGACCTGTGCAAACACGGGGCCGAAATGTCATCTGTTGCATGCCCTGCTGGCTGGGTATGTGCAGCCGCCGAGAGGATATGTGCACAGAGCGGTTTGCACCAGAGATTGGTGTCCTGGCGACTGGATGTGGGAGCACGAGGAAGGGATGGGTGAGTGTGAGAGGCCGTTGGGTGAGCCATATGGTCAAGTGGAAGACAACGAAGACGAGCACGAAGCTCAAGCAGAGGATGAGGACGAGCGACGGGTCAACGACCGGGATGATGACAAGTATGAGCGGATGCATGGGCTTGAGCGTGCCAGAAAGAAACGCGAGATTGACGAGTGCTGGAAGAAGCATACGCAGCAGCAGCAGGAAGACGGCGACGATGAGCAGGATGAACGGGATGAACAGGATGAGCATGGGGAATATGGAAGTGATGATGTGGTCATGGGAGATTGCGACAGCGATCTGGACCTGGGTCATGAGGAAGGCGAGATCAACGAGGTTGACGGAGAGTGGTACATGGAGGGCGCTGCTGATGCTTGAAACCAACCAACTCTTTCTCACAGGGTTTAACGGCTGTTCCACTGGACGGCGCGATTTGATATCTCCACTCTTGCTTTCGATTAGATAGTCGGTTTGTGCCCTTGGAGCACAAAGCACAAATGATACCTCAATTTTGATCTTCGAAGAACAGAGCTTTTCTCCTGGCAATATGCTGGTCGATATGAGGAATATGAAGTGACAGGCAAGCGCTCCTGCGTAGGGAGCAGTGACTGTACATCAGTAAAAATGCGGAAAGATGTTCAAATCAACAGATTGTCCACTGAGATCTTTCTAAGACGTGCTCTCTTTGGGGGCGAATGTGAACGTGAAAATCATTGCGCATTGGGACGAGGGTCCTTGAGAAGCGCTGGTAGATGGAGAGGCAACATAGTGTGATATATCGAATACAATCATGATTGATAGCTTGGGTTTTTGCGTCGTCTATCATCCAATGGGAGAGTGTTTACGTGGACTTCTATACCTTGTCAATAATATCCTGGCGATTCAGAGGTGTTGGGCCACGAGGAGGGAGCTTGTTCTATGGGTAGTGTCTCTTGCGCTGGCTTGTATAGCGGTATGTCGTATATCCTGTAAGCTAGTTCAATGTCAGGTAGCGAAACACGGCTGCATGTGCGGCTTATCGCTGCAGCGGATTCCGCACTTGTTCCAGATATTGCAGGGATGGTCAAGTGGCCGCTCTTTGACCTTCTGGTCACAACCTATCATATGGCTTATACGTATAGATGGCTAGGGTGTCTACCTTTCGGCGCGCAGTAGCTTTGCTATCTGTTCGCGCCGCATGCCGTGCCGCGGCTATGCGGGTTATAGCTTGCAGTGCTTGACCACCGCTCTTATACAGATGATTGGTGGAGTGTTAGTCGGGAAGAGATTATGCGACATCACAAATTGAATCTACCGCGACATGACGAAGATGTTGTTGGATATCAAGGCTCGGGAGTTGGAGTTGCTTGGTGGGCCAGACTTTCTGGTTCGCATCGTTCGGCTGTTCAAGCCCAATGAGACGGATTGCAAACGGTGGTCACCACAGCTATCGATGAGACTCGTCTACTTATCCGAGTAATCGCATACCACGTGTAGTCAAGCACTTGAATGTTGGCATAAAGCATCATGTCGGTGTCGTGTCGTTGCAAGAGGAGAGGTCACGGATCTTCGGAGAGACCCGCGCGTGCCCCAACCAAGTCCCAGCCTCTTCCCTTCTTCGACGACACATGCATGACACTTGGGTAGTCTTCAGGAAAGAGGCGCACGTCACCAGTTGAATGCGCCTCACGATCTGATCTTCTCGGACCATCGCTCTCGTAAGGCTCTCCATGTCCGTTCAGTCCGTTCAAACGACGCGTCGACGGAACAACAAGCCCGTTGGCCACAAACCCGTTGGACACAAGCCGAACCTCTTCCCCCCTCCACCAACGCAAGGGATTTCATGGAAACCGCATCCGCTTACACCGTCTTGATACCAATAACTACCGTTGTAGTGCAGGGCAACGTTTCCAAAAATCTAGCATACTCTATACCATTCGTTCATGCTCTCCGCATCTTTCCCTTCAGGTCGAGACAGTGATTCTGAATCTGGATCGTGGACCTGGCTTCCCCCCTTCGACGAAACGCCCCTTTTACGCGTTCTTCAACGCGCCTGCATGGCCAGTCAACTCTTCACGAGCACCTGTCATTCGCGTCTGTGAGCAAAGACCTATCAATCGTGACTTTGCTACCTGTCATCGAAAGGGTCCGTCCGTGCACTTCACCTGGGTTACACTATCTCTGTATCAAAGAACGTTGACCTCTATCACGCCCTCCTACGCAACCACCTGCTGGTTCTTTTACGTGTAGTTTGTCGAGGTAGTTGATCGTAAATGGTATAAGATGATGAAAGCCTCCTTGCTTTCATTGTCTTCTCACGCGCACCAAAAAATCATTCGTGACACATTTCCCGGCAACCAGGTTCATGCAGTTGTGAAGGTAAAAAATTCTTCGATCGACCAACTAACCCCTCCAGCCCCTTTACAGAAGCACTCGATCCCAGGTTTTGCCAGCGCCACACAGGCTAAGTATTCTACCCCCTCTTGATCCCTACACTACCTTAATCCGTGCGTCCTGCAGCCAACCCTGCTTCCCGACCAGCCTAAGCTGTTCGCGTCTGCACTGATATATATCCAGGTCCTGTTTGCACATTTTTACAGAACCAGGTTTATCACTCTCTTTCACTACATCAAACCTCAACACACTCTTTACAATGCGCGTCACTCAGGTTATCGCTACTCTTGCGCCGATCGGTCTTGTTGCCGCTGGCCCTCTGCATAATCATCATCGCCATACTCACCTTCATCATCTCCACCATCGTTCCGTCAATGGCACTTCTTCCAACTACACCACAAGCGATACCGCAAACTCTACAATCTTTGCTGATCACATCACATACGAGACTTCTACAGTCAACGTTGCTGCTAATTTTGCTGATGGTACTAATGCAAGTTCGGCCAGCTCGGAGGCAGCTTCCAGCACCATCTCAGAATCAAGCAGCATCCTCTCCACTACTGCGCAGTCAGAAACTGCTTCCTCAACATTGTCATTCTCTTCCGGTGCTTCGTATGTGAGCGGGTCTCCATCGAACGCATCATCGGCCTTGATTATTTCCTCCTCTATTCCTTCGGAAGCATCTGTCTCTATCGTTCTTGCTGTCGCAGCAACCACACCCACTGCTGTCGGCGCACTCTCTCAGACTGTTGATACCACCACCAGCATATCTGTCGACACCATCTATAACACCATCACTGTCAATGGAGCTGTCACTACCGCGTCTGCAAGCGAGAAGACTGTCACCGTCACTGACGTTGTAACCAACTTTGTCACTGCAACTTTTTCGGCATTGGCACCCTTCAAGGCTCCTGCTATCAAGGTTGCCGCAATCTCTTCCGGATCTTCTTGTGCGGCCATCAAGACTAGCATTGTCTACCTTCCCGCCAGTGTCTCACCCACTCTTGTTGCTGGAGGTGCTGCATCTAGCAAGGTTTCATCCATTGCTTCCAAGGCTACCAGCCAAAGCTCAATCAGGTATGTGTCTCAGTCCGCTTCGAAGTCAAGTTCTTCCTCCATCAAAAAGTCGAGTACATCTTCCAAAAAGACGAGCACCTCTGCCATTCTTCCCACATCTGTTGCGAAGCCCATTTCTACCAAGAAAACAAGCACTTCCATCAAAGCGAGCACTTCCATCAAAGCAAGCACTTCCATCAAAGCAAGCACTTCCATCAAAGCGAGCACTTCTACCAAAAAGTCAAGCACATCAACTAAGAAAACAAGCGCATCTTCATTGAAGATTAGCACCGCCACCTCGGTCAAGAAGGTCACCAGCAGCATTTCCTCTGTCAAGAAGGTCACATCATCTACCAAGCCTGCTACCTTGATCACTCTTTCCTCTCTGGTTCAAAAGGGTGCCACTACTAAGACTATCATCAGCACTTCCAGCATTGCAGCCTATGTTCCCAGCTCCAGCGCTAAGGTGTCGAGTAAGAGTGCTGTCAGCTCTGCTGCCAGCTCTGCAAAGGCTAGTGCATCTTCTTGCGCTGCTGTTGCCGCTCCTGCTTCTACTCAGACTGGTATCGTCTCTGGCTGTACCAAGTGGTACACGGCCAAGTCTGGCGATTACTGCTATGCAATTGCTTCGGCCAATGGCATCTCTACGGACACTTTCATGTCCTGGAACCCTGCTGTCAATGCACCCTCTTGCGACAGCATCTGGTAAGATCGACCCTTTTCACCTTTTTGACAACCTCAATACTAACCATCCTTCAGGGTCGGATACGCCTACTGTGTCGCCGCAGGCTGCAGCTCCAGCTCCAGCAACACACCTTCCTCGGCTGCCAAATCCTCAGCCCAAGCAAGCACCGCAAAGACCTCCACCGTCGCCACCGCCGCAGCACCATCGACCAAGACATCCACCTCCGCAGCGACTTCCACCGTCGTCGCATCTTCCTCGTACAAAATGTACAGCGGCAACGGCACTGTCGCCGCGGGCTGGCCCGCCCAAAACCAATGGATCGACTTCGACACCATGTTCACCGCCAACATCCCCATCATGAAGCAGTCCTGCGGCAACAACGGCTGGGGCGCCAACGACTCGGACGACGAAATCGCCGCCATAAAAGCCGCGATCAAGAAGGTTTCGGCATCCTCAGGCGTAGATGCACGTTTCATCCTCGCCATCGTCATGCAAGAATCCAACGGTTGCGTACGCGTTGTTACTACCTCTTGGTCAGTCCAGAACCCGGGATTGATGCAAGATCACGCAGGCACCGGCACCTGCAATTCCGGCGGCGTGATCCAGGATCCTTGCCCCAGCAGTGAGATTGAGCAAATGATTGTGGACGGCACTACCGGCACTACTTCTGGCGATGGACTTGTGCAATGTTTGAGCCAAGCCGCCGCGTCAGATGTATCGCAATATTACCGCGCCGCACGCATTTACAACGGCGGATACTCTGGGTTCAAGGCTGATGATTTGGGTACTGGATGTTGCACGCTTTGTTATGCATCTGATGTCGCCAACAGACTCACCGGATGGAGTTCTGGTGTCAGTGGATGTCATTTGGGCACTGCATAGACTACGAACAGAAAATGGATGAAAAAGACAAGGAATGGTTCTTCAGATGCTGGATTCATCTGAATATTGAAAGGAAAAAGAGGAGGAAATAAAATACACCCATGACATCAAACACGTTTCTTTTGTTTATATAGCTATACCATTACATGCCATGACGCATACACTTGTCTTGGTTCTTCGCAAGCGATTGATTCAACAATGCTAAAGACTACCCACCCATCATTCTTTCCTCAGTCAAAATATGTCCCCTTCTTGTTATCTTGTCTCCTCCAACCTCAACGTTAAAGTTGCGTCTGAATTGCCGAATTCGTACAATACCACTTGTTCTCGATATTTGACGTCCAACATCTTCCTTTGCACCCGTCCTTACATCAGAGAACTGTGAACGAGATACATGATCTCCACGTTGCACTCAATGGAGGTCAGAAGCCCACGAACCCTTTAATCCTCGCTCCATCAACAATAAAAGGTCTTAAAGGCTAGCAATCATGTTCTCTTACTCTTGTATTCTAAGAAGTTGTGTTGTGATGTTTTCGTGCCTTTGATTCCGTTGCCCTCGTTTTAGGTCTAAAGCAGCTTGGGAGTAGCATAGATAGCGGAAACCCAAGTGACAAAAGCCCACCGCTTCCTTCATCGACGACGTTGTGCAGCGAAGTTCGTGCCACAGTTCCGTTGACATTATCGTCGGTACGGAGTGCCACCCAACTCAATGGCTGCAGCGGAACCGGATTACCGGAGTCAGCGATGCTGTCCTTGCCGATCGACTTCACTCGTCCACGTCCGGAACGACATACTTTGAGTCCCTAGGGAGCGGGTGGAGATTGATGGATGAAGGTGATGGAGAAGAAAGGATTGTGCCAGCAAAGAGGAACGGTATGAAGATCAGTGTGACCAGAGGCAGTATCGAGAGAGGGGGCTGATGTGTTAGTTTGCTGTGCTCTCTTCGGAGGTTGTGGCTATGATGAATTAGATTCGGCATTTTTGGCGGCGCATGTGACAACGAGATGGGCAGCCAATCACCGAAGATTTTGTCCCCGTTAGTAGTACCACCTTCACGGGGCGGTTTGCTTTGAAGAGAGGCTGTGGAGGAATGAGATAGAGAAGCAAGTCGTAAATGTGTTTCTTTTGAATATTTGTACAAACCACATCAGTAACGCCGATGGAAAATGCCCGGATAGTCTGCAAGGCCCCAATATCCTGTACATTCAGTAGAGAAGAAAAAGCACAACACACGGCCATCATCCTTTATGGCGAAGGAGACTCGGGCATGCGGTTGGCAGACTGATCAATGCTGGGAGGGGGCAATTCACGTCTCGGCCTCCTGAGCATCTCCTCTGTAACACCATTCCCGAGCTTTGTAATTCCCATGACCGGCGGGTCTCCAGCACGCACAAATTCATACAGACCAGGCAACTTGTTTCCAGCCAATCTGAAAGCATCCTTGACAACCTGCTCGTGCAACTCTCCCTTGAGCTCGAAAATGATCTTGCTGACGGCAACACGCGAAGCCCAGTAATCGAAACTACCCTTTCCCTTTCCCATACGTGATTCATTTCCGGAAGTGTAGACACCAATGTTTGCGGAGATGCGGGTGTAGAGGCGGTACTTCATGCCACGCAGGCGCTTGCGGATGACATCTTCACCGATTTTGAGCTGTGCGGCGCTGATACGGCGGTCGTGGTCTAGTAGGCGGAGGCCGTAGTCGCCCCAGACGACGGTGGTTCCGCGAGTGCTGCCTCCGGTGGGTACGCGAGGTCGTCCTTTGCGGTCCTTCTTGTTCGCGCCGGCACGGGGGAGAAGCCAACTTTGAGTTGAGGGTGTGGAGGAGAATGCGCGAGAGAGGGAGGAGAGGAGTGGCGATGTTTGGCTTGCGAGGAATTGTGGTCGCGCTATAGATGGGTTTAGTTGTGTGAGAATTAGATTCGAGGTGATTGGTCGTACTGCAGGATTGCGCAAATGAAAAGAGAGTGTTGCGATGCGAAGCAAGGCTTGCGCGGATCCGTAGTGCCGACATGATTGATGTGGTTTTGTGTATATTCCTCTATTCGAGCTAACCATCACTCTCATCGACTTGCCCTTGGACTTTCTCGAAGTCCTTCGGCTTGTTCCGTTTCCCGTGGAGCGGGAGTGCTGCCTAATCGGGATAGATTGATGACGCGCTTTCGACTGGACCGCGACAGCACGAAGCGCGTGTTGTTTCAGAACTGGAGTCGACTTTCATCGATTGTAGCATTTACGACTAACCGGGTATCTCAATTGCTGTTTTATAGATATAACATCATGCCTGCAGATATTCGTAACTTCTTCGGTGGCAAGCCGACTGCAACTCCAGTGAAAGAGGAGAAGAAGGCTCCTGCCAAAAAAGGAAGAGCTAGAAAGGTTGTCGATGACAGCGACGACGAGGAAGAGTGTGTGACTGCTTCATCTCCTCGTGTCAATCACATGCTGATACCAAGACAGAGTAGTGCCAAAGAAGACGACAAGAACAGCAGCACCGTAAGCGTGTCTGCCTGATTTGGTTCGCTCCTTCCACAATTGACTGACGCTTTCAAGGAAACGTGCCGCATCACCACAAGGCGAGGAAACCACCACTGCCGCCTATTTCGCCACAAAGAACAAGCCAAAGCGAACAGCTGCCTCTACCAAATCACAACCTGCACCTCCGAAGAAGTCGCCTGCCAAACCCATCAAATCAGAAACCACCCCACCCCCATCAACAGATGACTTGAACGCCGAAGACTTCCCTGACGACGACCTAGACGAAGACTTTACTACCGAGCAAAAAAAGGAGGACCAACCAACACAAGAAAACGACGACATGGCACCCAAGAAACGTGCCGCTGCAAAGCCTCACCCAACCAAGATCAAGGATGAAGACTACGATGAAGATGTCGGCATGAAGGATACCAATGCCGACGATGACTTTGTAGTTCCAGATGATGACGAGATGATTGTCGAGGACAAGCCGGCTCCCAAGAAACGCGCTGCCGCAAAGCCCAAGGCCAGCACAAAGAGAAAGTCAAAGGATCTGGACACTGACGAGGAAGAGGAGAAGCCTAAGCCAAAGAAGCCTCGTGCAGCACCCAAGAAGAAGGAAAAGGACCCTCCAGTCGAAGACAGTGCTGAACTCAAGGCCATCCTCGACGACATTCCCCTCATCCAAGCACCCGAACCACCCAAGGACGACGGAACTCCAGCCAAAAAGTGGTATAACATGCCAAAGAACGATGGTCCTGCTCCCGAGGCCGGTAGTCTCGACATTCCAGAGGGTGCTGATAATTGTCTTGCTGGCCTGTCATTCGTCTTCACCGGTCAACTCAAGTACATCGCCAGAGAGGAAGGCCAGAACCTGGTCAAACGTTATGGTGGAAAGTGCATGACGGCACCTAGTAAGAACACTAGTTATGTCGTTCTGGGAGAAGAAGCCGGTCCAAAGAAGCTTGCAACCATCAAGCTGCACAACCTCAAGGTCATCGACGAGAAAGGTCTCTTCGCTCTCATCTCAAAGCTTCCTGCCAACGGCGGCAATAGTGTAGCCGGCGCCAAATTTGAAGCTCAACAGAAGAAAGAAGCCGAAAAGATCGCGGCGGCCGCCGAAGAACTGGAGAAGGCCGAACGTGAGAAGCTGGCCAAAGGTCCTGCAAAGCTCGCCAAGGGCTTTGCTGCTGACGGTTCCGACAACAGACTGTGGACTGTCAAGTATGCCCCTACGCAACTTGGCCAGATCTGCGGTAACAAGGGCCAAGTCGAGAAGTTGGGAACATGGTTGCGCTCATTTGCCAAAAACTCGCGTACCCAATTCAAGCTTCCTGGAAAGGATGGCAGCGGTACCTACAGAGCTGTCATGATTCATGGTCCTCCTGGTATCGGCAAGACAACCGCTGCACATCTCGTCGCCAAGCTCGAAGGTTTCGACATTGTCGAAAGCAATGCCAGTGACACGCGCAGCAAGAAGTTGGTCGAAAGCGGTCTTAAGGGAGTGCTGAGTACAACATCTCTCATGGGTTACTTCTCTTCCGGCGAAGTCGATGCAAGCAAGAAGAAGATGGTCTTGATCATGGATGAGGTTGACGGTATGTCTGCTGGTGATCGCGGTGGTGTCGGTGCTCTTGCTGCTGTCTGCAAAAAGACCCAGATCCCCATGATCCTTATCTGCAACGATCGCAAGCTTCCCAAGATGAAGCCATTCGACTTTGTCACATACGACTTGCCTTTCCGCCGCCCATCGGCCGATATGATTCGCGCTCGTATTGCAACAATTGCCCACCGCGAAGGTCTCAAGATGCCGCCAAACGTTATGAACGCTTTGATTGAAGGCACAGGAGCAGATATTCGCCAGGTGGTGAACATGATCTCTACTGCAAAGCTCGACCAATCCTCCATGGACTTTAACAAAGGCAAGGAGATGTCCAAGGCTTGGGAGAAGCATGTTGTCTTGAAGCCTTGGGACATCACCAGCAAAATCCTCGGAGGCGGAATGTTTCAAGACGCCAGCAAGTCTACTCTCAACGACAAGATTGAGCTGTACTTCAATGACCACGAATTCAGCCCTCTCATGCTCCAGGAGAACTACCTCGGCACAAGACCTATTCGCGCTCTGGGTGCTCCCAATGCGAGGATGGAGAACTTGGAGCAACTCAGCCTGTCCAGTCAAGCAGCCGACAGTATCTCGGATGGTGATCTGGTCGACAGAATGATTCACGGATCTCAACAGCAGTGGAGCTTGATGCCTACACACGCCATCATGAGTTTTGTCAGACCAGCATCCTTCGTTGCAGGCTCTCAAGCTGGTAGTCAAACTCGCTTCACAGCCTGGTTGGGCAAGAACAGTTCATTCGGCAAGTTCAGTCGCCAAATCAAGGAGATTCAAGGTCACATGCGTCTTCGTACTTCCGGCGACAGACATGAGATCAGACAACAGTACCTTCCCACCTTGTGGCAGAACCTCGTGAAGAGGATGGAAGTCGAAGGCAAGGAATCAGTGCCCGAAGTCATAAAGCTCATGGATCAGTATTTCCTTACCAAGGACGACTTTGATGCCATCTTGGAGCTTGGTGTTGGACCCATGGATCAGGAGAAGATCAAGCTGGAAACACAGACCAAGGCTACCTTTACCAGGATGTGAGTACATGCTTACTATGACCTCTCGAATCTCCACTAATGTCTCATCCACAGGTACAACGCACAATCCCACCCTCTTCCCTTCATGAAAGCCTCCAGCGTCGTCGGCCCAGCCAAGAAGACCGCAAAAGACAAGCCCGATCTCGAAGAAGCAATGGACGACTCGGAAGATGAAGCTCTCCTCAAGGACGCAGCTGAAGATGATGGAGCCGAGGAAGAAGACATGGACATCTCAAAGGACAAGTACGTCGCCAAGCCGAAGAAGAAGAAGGCCGCTGCCGCGCTCAAGGGCAAAGGCAAGAAAAAGGTCATTGAAGAGGACGAGGATGACGAGGAAGAAGAGAAGCCGAAGCCCAAGAAGAGGGCTCCTGCCAAGCCTAGGGCTAAGAAGTGAGAGTGAATGTACGTGACTCGAAGGATGATCGTCGAGGGTGCGTTGTTTCTGAAGGAGGGTTCTTTGCTGTAATGGTCGGCGTTCAACTGTTTTTCTTAATCGCTGTGCATCAATGCGTTCGTCATAAGCGAAGGTATAGGCTGGGGAGGGATCACTGTTTGCTGTTTGCTTTTGTTTCACACCATCGAACAAACATGATATGATATGGGGAAACTGAAAGTATTACCATATTCTCTCTTGTGTGGCCGTCTTATCCTCTCTTCCTTTTAAGACACTTTCCCCTGTTACATACTCCTGGTTTGACAAACTTGACATGTCCACTCTTCGTATCAAAAGATCCAAGTTACGATCCTTGCTTCTGCGACAAATTAGTATCAATCATGTCTGGAAAGCGGCCGGGATCTGAGAAAGGTTTGAATGAATCGGATCTGTGGGACTACGAGTTCGATGATGATGATGATGACCCCAAATGCCTTCCAAATTCCATATAACGCAGAGCCAAGCGATTCATCACTACTTTCAAAAACGCCATTTTGTCCCTGCCATTCCAATCCCAAAATTTCCCATAACCTTCCGAGAGAGCGATTGCTGACCTGGTCCAAACCGAAAAACGCCATGAAATACAAATCACCCATGACTATGCTTGTTTACCACGAACTTCCAAGTCTCTCAACTTCTTACTCAACAGACTCTCCTGTTTGCCTCTGCTCTCAGACCGTCCTTCCCGTCTCTCGAAGGTGAATGCGTCCTTTCTTTGTCCGAATGCAGAGTTGTGCGGGGAAGCAGAGGGTTCGAAGTCGAGATCCATATTCATATCCATATCGATATCACCCCTACTGTCGCGGCTAGCCGGTCGAGATTGCAGTGTCGGTAATGGCGGTCGCGCATCAGGGTGGCGGAACGAGAGATCCGAGAACGAAATATTGCTGTCCATAGATCCAGAAGCGGGTGAGTGCTGAGGATACAGTGAAAGAGTGGAATGAGAAGGGAAGACAGCACTTCTCCTCCTCCTTTTTGCCTCTTCCACCTTCGCCGCCGCCATGGCTGCAGAATCGGCGGTCTCTGTCGATGTCGGCTTCCAAGCAGAATATCTAGGCTCAGGCATCTGCATCTCTGTTCGTAACTTCTCCTTCCCGTCCGGTACCCTGTTCGCAAAGACGACGCGCACGCTTTTGTACAGGTAGTATTTCCCTTTTGCCGGCGAGCAGATATGCAGATGGATCAGATAACGCAGGACCGGTCTATCTCTTGGATCATCGAGTCCTCCAATGGCAGCCTCAGGTCGATCGGTGCCATAATTGCGCATGGATGACAGCGGCATGTCGACAACAGGGCCAGCAGAATATGAGCGTTGACGAATGAATGTCTTGGTGCCAGGTGGCATGTCGGATAAGTCGTATGGAACTAGAAAGAGCTTTACAGCTGTTTTGTTCGGGTTCTTGATGATGATCTGGAGTTGGCCGATCTCAGGTATGCGGTAAGATCCGCCAGGTAAGCTGTTTATGCGGCGACTCATCTTGTGTTGACGTCGTTGACGCGAAGTCTCGTCATCATGAGAAATGTGAAATGTGTCGTGATGCTTCAGTGCAGTGTGGCTGTGTTCTTGATGTTTTCGGCGTCTCCTTGCCGCCAGAGCTTCGGGATCGTCAGGCTTCTTCAAGGTGTTCTCCAGATCTAGCATTCCCACATATGGACTTGGTTCAGGATCTGTCGACGTTCCAGAAGCGTAGCTGTAAAAGACTGCAGGAAAGGGTATGGCGACATGAGGAGGACATTTGAGACTTGGCTTGCAGTCGCCTTTTCCCAAGACACCTATTTGAGCGACAAAGTCCAGAGGTTTGGAGGGAGTTGTTGACATGCGACCACGGAGAATGCTTTCCTCGTATGAACCAACCATAGGGGCGTGTTGAAGAGGTGAGGCGTCAGAGATTGATGGACGACGGGCTGAAGGGAAGGGTGGTTGTGGCAGGCTGCCTATTGAACCTATTGAACGGCGAGGTTGATGGGCTTGGTAGGGGAAGGCGCGAAGGGACGAATGGCGATGCAAGTTCGGATGTAGGATACGCGTAGGTGTAAAGTGATCAGGCGAGTGATCAGGCATATCGGCAGCATTAGCTTGATGGACGAGCGGACTTGTGGGTGGTTGGTAGGAGAAGCTGCCTGAAATTGAAGCCTGAGAGGCAGCTCGTGGACGTTGTAGGAAGTGCGATTGAGCATGCCATGGTACAATGGGAGAAGTGGATATGGCATGTTGAGATTCCGACTCTTCTCTAAAGTCGCCGCGGTGCAAAGCCGAGCGCGGACGGAGGATGTCAAGGCCTAGTGCATTGCTGTCGGTCTCGGTCGGTATTCGTGTAGTTGACGGCGGTTGTTCATGCTGTCGGTCTACATCGCCTCTTGCTTTCAGTCGTCGTATAATATCATTTCTGTCGGTGGTAGGAGTTGGACTTCTTTCACGGCCGTCGCCATCACGGATTCTGCCAGTGAAAAACGGGTTGTAATGGTTTGATTCCGGCGGACTGTCGTATTTGGAATGGGGCATATCGCAGCTCAGAGCACATGTCAACTCCGAGCTGCCAGCAGTCGAGAGAGGGATTCAAGGACGGAGGGAAATGTCGTGTGTGTCGTGTGTGGTGGTATATCCGGGCGGTGAGGTGGGGATTATCACTCGGCCAAGGACCCTGATGGTTTCACAATCTGATAAGAGTTTGCGACGTCAGAATGATGATGGAATTGGCCGAGAAAACTGTGAGCGTCGACGATGGGAGAGATATGGTATTATGTCGAGACAGAGTGTCAGGTGAATAGGGAAGTGCGTAGTTGAGATTGGACAAAGTTGGTGAAACAAAAGAAGGAGCAACTTGTCGTCGTCACGCTCGTTCGAGTCATCTGATGCAATCAAAGCCAAAGCCATGTCGATGCTCGGAGCGTTTTTTGCGGGAAGCCATACAAAGCGCATCAGGCTTTGTTATAGAACGTACACAGCCATGTCCTCGGCACCTCAGACATTGAGTTGTATCATTGCGCGAGTTTCTGGAAGATCAAAGTACGTTCGATGAGAGAGCAAAGAAATCAGGCTCGCAGTTGACTCTCATCAGAGATTCAATACTATCGTGCAGTCTAAAAATCAAGAATAAACTGTGCTGCGAATTTGAAAGATGCCGCGTATGAAAACCCGCGACGTTCGCAACAAGCTTCTTCCTTTTCCTTTCCGCATTTTGTGTCAAAGAAAAAAGATTCCCCGCAATTCAAGACTGCCACCATCCAAACCATCAAAGAAATTCGAAGACGCCTCGATCATAATCAACATAATAGAAAATGGCCATAACGAAACGCCCTCGTGATGACGCGCCTGCAGATCGCGCAGCAAAGAAGCACAAGAAGGGATTCGTCGTCGGTCCGCAAAACCTGCCCGACGGCACTCATCGTCGCAAGAGTACGTGCGCGCCCACATAATCAGCACCATTAATATCTGACAACCTCTTCCAGCAATTCAAATCAAGCGCAACTTGATCGAGAAGGCGAAACTGAAGAAGGAATACGCAAAGCAGAAGGCCCAAGCCGGAGACGACATCCAACCGAAACGACCAGCAACATACGCACCCAGCGAGGATGAAGAAGAACAATCACCAAAAGAACCCGCACCAGAGAAGGAAATCGAGGAGAAGGTTGTGGAAAAAGTAAAGGCACCGCGACAATCAAAACCTAAGCGCCCATCACCACCACCAGCTCCCGTCGCAGAAGAAGCTCCTGCAGTCAACACCGAATCAAATCTTGACGGCATCCACCACAGTCGTCGTCAAAAGATCATTCCTTTCGCAAAAGAACATCGCGCTGCTCAGCGTCAAAAGAGAGAAGCCGAGGAACGCCGTGAAGCCTACGAGAGATCACAAAGGGAAAGAGCCGAGAAGACTGAGGAGAGGGAAAGATTCAGAAAGGCAATGGCAAAGGCGAGAAGTGGAGGCAGGAATGGTCAGAGGAAGTTGGGAAGAGAAAGTACTGTCTTGCTTGATCGTATCAAGAGGACTATGCAGCAGGGATGATTGGTCGCAGAACATCGGCGGACACAACCCAATCATGAGTGAGAAAATCATGCCTCATCAAGCAGATTACAAGTCTCACCTTCTTACCGTACAACCAACGGAAGCCACCAAGACCGCCGCACTCCAGCAACATTCTCTGGGCAGCAGCGGCATCGCATTCACGACAAGCACGGCAGGACTAGATGATTACCCGCTCAAGCGTATCACCGCTCGCCGGACAACGACACAGATAGTGGGAATTCAATAGCAGGGATCGTCAAGCATGAGGTAGATCACATATACTCAGACAGGGCTCCTCGTAAGCCCTTCAATGTCTTACAACATGATCGGTCACAATCCACACTGACTGCAGACCGCACAACCACTTTGCACGCATGTGACAGCGCTGAGCTACAAAGAGAATTTACAGCATCTCATCACGAAAAAAACCGTGGCTCGAAAAAGCACGATTGAATACATTCTGATCGATTCTCAAACAGCTAATGTCAACCAAGCGCAGAGAGCGATTGATCAGGTAAATGATCCCGGGCACCATATCTCTACCCATTCCCCTCCCATCACATCAACATTACTCTTATGGCTCTGATATCTCAAGACATGCTCACATTCCTCAATTGCACCTTCCCATCCTTCGTGAAATTCACACGGCGATAGCTCGATACCAAAGTCAATTTATTACGAACACAACTACATAGTTGCCTTGCTACGACTCACTTATAAAGCTCGCCGTCGTTGCTGCTTGAAAAGATCAGACAATAAGATAGGAGGTATCGACTGGCTCTCGCTTCCACGAAGAAAAGCACATAGTTGATGGGGTTCGAACTACATAATTTCCCGGTCCTCTTCCTCACGTGCTAGTAGACAGATCAGTCGACTAGGTCTGTGGTTTCGCGCCCTGAACATCTGTCTCCAAATTATCTCGTCCAGCACTTTCAACTCCACATTGGCTTTACACCGCGTTATCGGGTGATGGCTGATGACTCTGTGGTTCAGTGACCTGTTCCTCTACCTTGCACTCTATATCCCAGGATTGATGACTTGACCCAGGTACACCAACACCTAAATCTCAAGACATCTTCCTATGTCAGCCCGTCGCGCGGTCATGGATATGGGATATCTCCTTCGAAAAGAGAATCACATTGAGATCGAGGGAAAAGCTCTAGAACGGTTTTTCATCCGTGTGTTGAATCCAGTCATGTCTGATACTCTTCTCTCGATCCGTTTCACTGCAAGATATGTGTGTTACTGTTGATATGGCCTGTCTAGAACACAGCCATCCGTGAGCCTGTAAATCATGGAGTCACCATATCCAAGTACGATGATTCCAATCTTGCACCTTGGAACGCTAAATTGACATAGCTCACGGGAAACAGTCTCTCTAGAACAGACATAAGCTTGCTCCAACAGCTTCCACTCTAGTTCTTCACTTGATCGAAAACAGGATGGAAACACCTTCTTTCTCATCTCTTTCTTCACACTACAACTTTTTGTTTCATCAGTAACATTGCAGGGTAGGACCCATTGTTCGGAGCTGGATCCAGTATTCCTTCGATTCTCGGAGGTGAAAGACAGACCGAAGCCTTCGCGACCACGCAGGTAAGATGATCAGGTCTGTGATACTCAGCTCACGGGTACAGTCTTTGGGTCTGGAGTAAGATAAGATCTCCTTCCGTCTGACACTGTAGATTGGTTGTGGGTTAAGGGTTACGAGTCTGTGGATCACTGACCTGATTATCTGTCTTCTTGTCTTCGTTTGGATGCTTACGGTCTAATGGAGCATACCTTCGAAGCCACAATTTGTAGAGCACACCTTCACATGCCCTGCCACATCTGCTGATGCCCGTGGTTTGTTGAACTACTACGGCATGGAACAGGTCGCTTACTATATGTAGTAGTGCCTAGTCAAGTAAGTGCTTTTGCTGTCATCGTGACACTATCCATAATTATGTACTTATGTTCCACCCACGAATGCACAAATAGCAATAATTAAACGCTTGCTTCTTCCATTCTACTGCTACGCTACTCCCATAATCGTTTCCCTTCTCCCTCGCATCCTCCATCTGCACTCTATAAGTACCCCAGATTGTCTTGGATCACCACCTTAATGCTCCAAACTGTTCGCTAGCGATCTTGGAGTCTCATGATTGTCGCAGCAGACAGCTACGTCTCAAAATCTCAAAAAGCTCCCGGATCTGCAGCATCTTTTCAGGGATGCTGTAGGGGGATGCGGTTTCACTGACGATTGATAAACAAGTTGTGCGTGTCAGAACTGAATAGAATATACATCTCGTCCATTGTGTGACTCGCGAGAAGCGGTAAGATGGCTGAACATGTTGGTTGAGATCTATTTCGCACGACCGGTGTTTCTGACAAGGATACGATTGCGGTGTACACACAAGTCGAGGAAACCCTAGATATAGATCAGATTGGACCAGATAGCAAGAGCCTTTCCGATCAATGCTCTATCTTGGCTAAAACTTTGACTTCTTGCGATGCTTGTTGAATACTCCGTACTCTGATTCTGTTGTGAATGGAATAATGGGTTTTGCTTGGCCCTAGCTTCATANCGACACGGGGAATTGAACCCCGGCCTCCTCGGACCTGGTTGTTCTTTCGAACGGTTTGAGAGCGAGAAATCCTAGCCACTAGACCATATCGGATTGATGAGTAGAATCTCAGTCTAGCAAAATATAATCTATTGCGTGAAAATGAAGGCGAAGGGATGAACTAGTACGGATAGGCGTTGTCTCTGCTTGCTAGACTAGGACTGTCCCTATAAGGGTTAACCTTTGCTATTCGTACTCGACTATATAGTAAGATTAAACGTTCACCTATTAAAAGGATATCGGCCCTTCGTTACCGATTAGGTATTTCGATGTAATTCTTGTCTCCGAACGCTAGTTAGACCGTATGTGTACCTACCTTAGGTTAGTGTATTAATAGTATATAACAATATCGGCATATCTTACGAGAGACGAGGTCGTCGCTTGCTTTAGAGGTTATAGTCTATTACGGGGTCGATTAGCCTATACGTTTTCTTCTATCTAGTAGCTTCTAGACACTCTTTGCTTGCATAATGTAACGACTTAATAGTCCGAGCTAAATACATCTTTGCTAAAGCAGAACATAAGTTCCCTAGGACCGAGCTCCTACGGCGACGAAGTTACTACTACATAAATCTACAATTTTAGACAACAGGTATATAAACTTAGAGAGGTCTACAAATGAAACCAACTTTAAAATAAATCTTTAAAACTAACATTTTAAGCTCTAATATTTTAACTATTGCTTTAAAATTACATTAAAATTATAGATTTAAATGTTTTAGTGTTTTAAAGGTGTTTTAACTACTAAAAATGGTCCGATTTAACCTCGTTGTCGTAGTATAGAGAATTAAGAGTAGGGTAAACCTATTAGCAACTAAGTCGACTCTAGGTTAAGTATGCTACTCGTAGGCTAGCGCTACGCTCGGCGGACTACTAGCGAAGCCTTACTAGGCATAACGCGCAAATTTTACACAAACACGACGCGAAGCTAGCCTATTGGAGTAGTAGATCTTATCTCTAAGATAAGATCTAACTAATTAGAGCCTTAGGATCCGTTGCACTTAGTAACTAACACCCGAGCGTTACTAGCTACTTATCGCTACGCGCGCATTAACTCCTAAACTTCTTTATACTAACCTAACTACCTCTTAAAAAACGCTTAATTCAGTTGAAATAATTCGTGCAACTCTACATAAACTACTCTTCCCTAGCGATAGGAAGTGCNGAAGACCTAGAAGGTATACTATAGAAATTAAGAGGCTTATAGTAGAACCCCTAAACGAATGGGCAACTCCTTATAACTTAAATTNACTTNATTACNTAGGGGTNAAGNGCTAANNACGAAGTTAAGCTTTCCCTTNTGCTAAGAGACANATAGACCATCTTAGCTNTACTCTNATAAGGGNAAAGATAGCCGACAGCTTATCCACTATAACTGTACTAATTTTAACTCTCCTACTTAGTAGCAGTGGATTAGCTTATCCTAAGTAGTCTTATGAACCTCTTAAATATTTCTCCTACAAGAGGCTTAGTTATACTATCTACAACCATGTCTANAGTTCTAATAAACTTAACCTTTAACCTATCCTTCTTAAGGAGATCCCTTTAATAATGGTAGGCAACATCGATATGTTTTAANCTATCTAAGATNTAAGCATCTCTTACTAGTCTAAGAGCAGCTTAGTTATCTCCTCTTATNAGAACTAGTAATCTAATTATAAACTTTGTCTTTTCCTTAATAAGAGGTTTAAATTAGTAGCTACTAATGTACTTAGTTGCTCCTATATCTCTTATTGCTAAGGCAATCCATTAAGATTGTTTTGCAGCTAAACACATAGCTATGTATTCTACGTCTATAGTTGAAGTTGTAACTAACTTCTGCTTCTTGCTCATCTAACTTACTAGTCCGTTTGCAAGCATAAAGACATTTCTAAGAACTAACAGTCTCTCTGTTCTGTCTAAGGCAAAATCTAAGTCTATATATCTAACTAGACCATCGTAGTCCTTTCTACTATAGGTAATGCCTCTTAAAGCACTCGACCTAAGGTACTTTAGGATCTGCCTAAGTGCTGTTATGTGGAATTTAGCAGGATCTAAGAGGAATTGACTTAGTCTCCCTAGAGTAAAGCAAATGTTAGGTCTTGTTAGGATTGCTAGGTATATAAGCTTTCTAACTAGAGTCTAGTACTCCTTTTAGTTAGTTCTTATATCTGTCCCTTCTACAAGTCTTAGAGATTCATATCTGTTTATAGGGATACTAGTCTTTCTTAACTTATCCTATTACATATTGTACATAGAGAGAATCTCTCTTATGTAGTGCTCTTAGTCTAGCTTAATAGTCCTTACTCCTCTATCTCTAGTGACATAGACACCTAGGATCTTCTTTACTTCCCCTAGATCTTTAATCTTAAAGATTTTGCTAAACTCTCCCTTAAACCATTAAATGGCAGAGAG